TGGTCCTGACATCCTTGCTCGTGTTCTCCCTCCATCCGCTCCTCATTGGGACCTTGGGAGCTCAGTCCAGTGCTCCAGTGTGGGTCTCTGTCTCTATCTCCATCCATCACCAGATGAAGGTTCTATGGTGCTATGGAAGATATTCGTCAGTATTGCTGTAGGATAGGGTCATTTCAGGTTCCCTCTCCTCAGCTTCCCAAGGGACTAACTGGGGACATCGCCTTGGGCTCCTGGGAGCCACTCTAGGTTCAAGTCTCTTGCCAACACTAAGGTGGCTCCCTTAACTAAGATATGTGCTTCCCTGTTCCCCTATCCAACCTTCCTTTATCCCAATCTTCCTGTTTCCCCAAGTTCCCCCAATCCTCCCCTTCTCGCTTTTCTCTCCCAGTCCCTCCTTATCCCCAACCCACCCCACCCCCAAGATCTCAATTCTCTCCCCGGCAATTTTGTCTACTTCCCATAGCCAAGAATATAACTATATGATTTTCCTTGGGTTCACCTTCTTATTTAGCTTCTTTAGGTTCACCAGGTATACACTCCGTGACCTTTATTTAAGGCTAGAAGCCATGTGGCAGAGGGTAGATAAAAACATGAGTTAATTAAAATGTAAGCATTAGCTAGTAACCAGCCTGAGATATTCGCTAAGCATTTACAATTAATATTAAGTCCCTGTTTTGGGTATTTGGTAACTGGCAGGTGGGAAAGAAAAGTCTGCCTACATGGTTGGACGGTTGTGGTTTTCTTTGAAGGTCTCCATTTGCTGTAAGGAGGTTCTTTCCTCACATCCTGTTCTGGCAAACTAAACACTTTTATTGATTGTTCAATGCAGAATATCAGCCTTCAAACCATATACACACCAAAATCAAAAATGGATTCATTCAGCAATTTGTATTTCAATATATTTCTGTAAGTGCATAAATAGATTCATATATGCATATATGTATGCAACAGTAATGATAAAAAAAGAAGCTATCAACTTGAGAGTGAGGGAAGAAATAGAAGGGATACTAGAGAGTGCACCATGGAGAGGTAGGAGGGAAGATAGGGAGGAGGAAAACCCTAATCCCTAAGCCTAACTCCCTTAACCCTAACTCTAGCCCTAAGGCTCACCCAGTATGACCTTTCCTAAAGAGTTCACAGAGAAAGTAACTCTCTGAAGCTTTCTTCTCCTACTTTCTGACAAGAAAATCCAGGGAGAGAGGTTGTTATTCCCGGCTAGAAATAGATGCACAACAGCGCCCCTTCCCTCTAGAGCTGGCTACTTTAAAAATCACTAGCAGAGGAGGACACTAGTCATTGTGTCAGGAAGCCAAATGGTGACTCACTGGAGAGCTGGAGTGGCCCTCTTGCTCATCCCCCCCTGTGAATTTCCAGGCAGTGGGAAAATGCAGCAACAAAAGAAGCTGGATGCAGAGCTGGGCTGACTCACAGGTCCTTTCTGAAAGGAAAGAAGATCCCATGGTAAGCCCCTGGACCAAAATGGAAATAAGTGTATACCTCCCGCATCATAGTTGCTCAGCCATACGGGAGACACTCACACTGACAGGCCCAGTCACAGGTTTTTATAATTAAGAATTTCCTTCCATTTCCCAAAATCTTGGATGTTTGTGTTAAGAAATATACTTACACTTAAGTATATTGTTATAATTGTTATGGCAAACAGACCATTTATCTAAACTATAAAGTATGTGAGTTGAGTCCTTAAAGCTCTGCTGAGGAAGAGGCAACAGCATGGGGCATTGCGGCTGCAATCAGCTGTTAACCAAGAGGGTTCAGTGGTTTGGAACTTGTATAGACAAAAGAAAGACAAGAAAGCCCAAATACAGACTAACCCAAGACATCTCAGTGATGCATGGAGTCAAAAAGAGCCCTATTGAAGGACTCTAGCAGGCCTGAGCATAGCAAGCATTTCCCTCGTTAAAACTATTAGATTACATTCCTAAAACCACCAAGGCATATTCCTCTATTTGGCCATTTCTTTTCCTGGGGCTGACCACCAAGGCCGAGATTTCAAAGTATCAAAAGTTCCCTTTTGGCTACCCTAACTAACATGCCCAATCAAGATTAGCCAACTCATCTGTGGTGGTTTGAGATAAAATGGCCTTCATAGGTTCCTAGGGAGCAGCACTATT